GTTTAATTATTACAGAATCACAGCACTAGGTCGTGGTTGTAAAACACTGTAGTAATTCACAGAACCTTGGAAAGTTTTTAGTTAGTTTAGGTATTATATTAGATTTGCAGCGCTATGCTGTGGTATCATTTACGTTTATTATAATTTATTGGGATTGATGAATTTGCGCTGTACCATACATTATTTATTAGCTGGTTGGCACTGCCATCTTGTTGCTTGGCGTCGGTCATCAACCCAGCTTGCACTAATGCAGCATGCTCAAAAGAATGTTGGTTTACATTTAGGCCCCATGCACACAGGGTGTTTCCCTAGCTCTCCCTATTTCTTTTCCTCCTGGCAGCAGCTTTTTTGCTGGAAACAAAACAACGTGTGTAAATAAGTCTAGGCACGTCAAAGACTTGGATGTTAATTCATTTCATTGGCCAGAATAATAATATATTCTGGCCCTTACAATTAACATTCAACCGCTTGATGCACCTAGCATTAATGTGCATTTAGACTAGTGTTTTTTTCTGACAAAACACTGCTGCTCCTGGATGCCCTAACAGTGTCTTGTTTTTTTTTTTTGTTTTTTTCTGCTTCTTAAATGCCTTATGTGTGCATGGACACATAGGCTAACATAAATGCAGAAAAAAATGCCAGACACCCCTAAAAGCAGTGTTTTTAACACTCTGTGTGCATGTGGCCCTAGGGTGGAAGAGATGAAGGTGAGTGAAAAGGCTAAGTTTTGGCTCCCTATAGTTAATTCTGATTGATGTTAATTGACTTGTACCCAGGAAAATGGTGACATTTCCACATTGGGCAAAATTCTCAGCATAATTTTCTCGGTTCATATTTGTACGGATTGACCACTTGCCATTCTGCCGACATTAACTATACTATGGGCAAATGGCAAAGCTGGGCACAATCATGTACATGTAAATCTTTGGCTAGTGGGCGTGTAGCTCATTGCTCTCATGACCACTCCTGCAATGGCTTTGTTTACCGGACACAGCAGATTGCAGCCGAAGTATCACATGATCACTATGCAATCACATGATCACAATGTAGACACATGACATTGAACTACTCTGATAAAAGTATCTAACGGAGACGTTCAGGCTGTCCACGGTAGTTAACACCTTGACAGGAACATCTTCTGATGAGAAGGGTTAAAGAAAATCTCCATGGAAGTTCACTGCAGTTAGCTAAAGAAGTAGGCCAAACTATGGTGATTGTTTGTCGTGACACAATACAGCGTACACTGCAAAGCAATGGAAGGCATAAGTGTTCATGAAGGAAGCCTCTCCTAAAGCCCATGCACAAAGCCTTACCTAGAATTTGCCAGGGCCAGTGCTGAAAAAGACAACTACTGGGACTCTGTACTCTGGAGTGATGAGACCAAGATAAATGTTTTTGGAACTGATGGCTTCAAAACTGTATGGCGTTGCAAAGGTAAGGAGTACAAAGACAAATGCATGGTGCCTACAGTAATACATGGTGGTGGCAGTGTCCTCCTGTGGGGCTGCATGAGTGCTGCTGGTGTCGGGGAGCTGCATTTCATTGATAGCATCATGAATTCACAGATGTAGTGCACTATATTGAAAGAGAAGATGCTATCATCACTCCATGCCTTTGGTCGTTGTGCACTTTTCCAACATGACAATGATCCAGAACACGTCTAAGGGCACTGTTGCATTTCTGAAGAACTGGGTTAAAGCGATTCAGAGGCCAAATATGTCTCCTGATCATCACGCAATTGAACACCTATGGGGAATTCTGAAGAGACAAGTTGAGCATCACTCTCCATCCAGCATCCAAGCTCTAATGGAGGTCGTTCTTCAAGAATGGAAAAAGATAAATGTTGCAATATGTCGCCAACTTGTTCATTCCATGCCTAGAAGACTTGGCACTGTCCTTACAAATAATGGAGGTCATACAAAATACTAGATGTAGTAGTTTTTGTTGTGGGTTGTATTCATTTTTGCATCGACTAATTTGAGTAAAACTGAAGATTTTGTAATCTAACTTTTATATTCTTAACCTTACTTTCATGTATTGAGCTAAACAAATGTTCTATAAAAACAGTTTTGTAAAAATTTTGGAAATTGTTCTTGTGATCATTGAGATATTGATTAAAATCTTACTTTTAAAAGGGGGTGTACTCATTTACGCTGAGCCTGTGTGTGTGTGTGTGTGTGTGTGTGTATGTGTGTATATAATATAATATATATATATATATATGTGTGTGTGTTATTTAACAATGTTTTTAAGTTGAATAGATATTTGTGGCTGATACTGTGTTGTGTTGCATTTTGCAAAGACCGGGAAGTTGCTCCTACGACATGGCAGCTAGTTGTTTTTAAACTGCAGATATTTATTTTACTGTGCATTGAAAAACCAGTTTAGATTAAAAGATAATTGTCATTCAAGTCATCTGAGTTGTATTTTCAAATAAATATTTTTCTAATTCAACTATTCAAGCGTGTCTGATTTTTAGTTCTCATTGAAAATGTACTTCATGTCTATCAGCCTACCTTTCTTTAATTTAAGTTTCAATCCCAACAGGTTCTGCTGACTCACAAAAACGCTTGCATAGCAGTCATTGTATATGTTTTTAACAAAAAGGTTAAAGCTCAACTTTAGGAAATCTAAGAGACTTGCTTGTTTAAGCTAGGGAACATTAAAATTTTTAAGCCTCTTGCACAAGATAGTGATGTTTGAGCATCTGTTTTTTTGGACATCATTTCAGACATTTGTTTTGCACATATTCATGTGCTTATTCACGTGCACAATATATTCTTAAGGAAAATTCATTAATATACTCTATGCACATACACTATATTGCCAAAAGTAATGGGAAACCCCTCTAAATCATTGGATTTAGGTGTTCCAATTACCTTCATGGCCACAAGTGTATAAAATCAAGCACCTAGGCATGCAGACTTCTTCTACAAACATTTGTGAAAGAATTTGTTGCTCTCAGGAGCTCAGTGAATTCAAGCGTGGTAATCGCTTGCCACCTGTGCAATAAATCCATCCGTGAAATTTCCTTTTTCTACTAACTATACCACGGTCAACTGTTAGTGGAATTATAAAAAAGTGGAAGCAACTGGGAACAATAGCAGCTCAGCCATGAAGTGGTAGGCCACGTAAAATGACAGAGCAGGGTTAGCACATTGCGAAGCGCACAGTGAGCAGAAGTCACCAACTGTCTGCAGGGTCAATAGCTAAAGACCTCCAAACGTCATGTGGTCTTCAGATTAGCACAGCGTAAAGAACTTCATGGAATAGGTTTCCATGGCCAATCAGCTGCATCCAAGCCTTACGTTACCAGTGCAAGCGTCGGATGCAGTGGTTCAAAGCACATCGCCACTGGACTCTAGAGCAGTGGGGACATGTTCTCTGGAGTGACAAATCACGCTTCCCTACCTGGCACTACAATGGACATGTCTGGGCTTGGCGGTTGCCAGGAGATCGGTACTTGCCTGACTGCATTGTGCCGAGTGTAAAGTTTGGTGGAGGGGGATTATGGTGTGGGGTTGTTTTTCAGGGTTTGGGCTTGGCCCCTTAATTCTAGTGAAGGGAACTCTGAAGGCATCAGCATACCAAGACATTTTGGACAATTTCATGCTCCCAACTTGACTGGTCTGCACCAGACTCCTGACCTCAACCCGATAGAACACCTTTGGGATAAATTAGAGTGGAGACTGCAAGCCAGGCCTTCTCCTCCGACATCAGTGCCTGACCTCACAAGTGTGCTTCTGGAAGAATGCTTACACATTCTCATAGACACACTCCTAAACCTTGTGGAAAGCCTTCCCAGAAGAGTTGAAGCTGTTATAGCTGCAAAGGGTGGGACAACTCCATATTGAACCCTAAGGACTAAGACTGGGATGCCATTAAAGTTCATGTGTGTGTAAGGACAGGCGTCCTAATATTTTTGGCAACATAGTGTATTGGCGTGTATTTGTGCACCAATGCGCAAACATGGCGTAAATTACTGACCATATATACAGAAAAGGGACTGCAGTAACTGTTCTAGCATCTTAAAGGAACAGAGGGATTAGCAAGTAAATCTGCTCTTCCATGTGCCCTAAATGGAAACTATCAGTTAACCCTTGCAGGGCAGCCCCACTGCGAAAGAGGATTATTAGGTTTCCTGGAGTTCAGCCTTCAATAAAAATTGACAGTATCCTTTTGAAGATTTATTAAATTGAATGTTCTGGAAACGTTTGCATGTTAACCAGTGTCTGTTTCCAAATGCATTTTACAGGAAAGTCTGCACATTAGTCATTTACTAGTGTTCATCAGTCACTATATGTAGCATTATTCCCTGCTTTGTCATTTGAAGTAAGCCTTTCAAGTAGGAGGCTTTCTTCAGCATGGTTGATGTCATGGACAGTAAAGGGAGTCTTCATCTCCTTAACAGTGAGGTCACATGGTTTCTGCACATAGAAGCGAGACATTTTCTTGTCAAAAAAATGAAATATTTATGAATCAAAATTTCATGAGTATAGCTTTAACTTATACATACATAAACTTAGTGAGTTATGATACCACTTTTACCTTAAAACTGCACACCAGGAACGTATGCTAAATTTGGTCCAATCATGTATTAGCATTTTTAAATGTAGCTTGTTTAGTAACCTATTTATTTTGGCTCTCTGCAGTCCCCTGTATGACAGTGCTGTTACTCTTATACTATAAACATGCTTGCAGGAGGGGAGTACACAAGGTTGACCTCTTCAGTGTGCTGCTGCTCTTTTTATTGTTTGATGGAAAGGCTTTGGCCACTGGCCAAACTGTCTTTGGTTGCCTAACTGCAGCAGAGGTCTATTGTCTGCCAGAGATGCCTAGATCACAAGATTGATTGGATGGAATTCTAAAATGTTTTGATAGGATCACACATACAGTATTGCTTTATGTTGTAAATTGTGTAGTGATTAAGTCGTTTTTATTTAATATGAAACTTTTGCAATTCAGAATTTTTAACTATTGTGCATTATTGTTCACACCAGGAATCAATGGATAATGTGAAGAAATGCAAGAATTTTCTTGCAACACTAATAAAACTGGCATCCAGTGGACCACAGTCACCTACCATGGGCCAGAATGTGAAAAATCTGGTGAAGAATTTACTTGTAAGGATTTTCTTTGTTTCTTTTGGATTTGCATATTAAGTAGTTAAAGACCTTCTGTAGGGTGTAGTCTCTTAAGCATGTTATCCCACAAAAATTTAGCTATATCCAGCAGGTTGCATGTCTTTTTTTTTTTTTTTTTTTTTTTTTTTTTCAGGTTATGGAAATGGTATTCAGATAAATAATTAGCACAACATAATGAGCACAATAGGGATTGATTTACTAAAGCTGGAGCTTGCAAAATCTGGTGCAGCTCTGCATAGCAACCAATCAGCCTCCAGGTTTCTGTCAAAGCTGCAGATTTTGCACTCCAGCTTTGGTAAATCAACCCCATAGTATACTTTGTTGTGACTTTTTGGCCTTGATGCCTTATTCTATGGATTAGCTTGTAGGGGTATTCAATCCTTACTTGCTTATGTTGTTAAAGGTATCACTCAAGTCAAAATTCAAACTAATGCCTTAGGAGGCACAAAGGACAAAGCATACTGTAAATCAGTCATCTAAGAGTATGCCTGTGTCCTTTTACTGTACTCCAAGAAATGGATTTTATAGATAATTCCATTTCTCATTGTTTTTAACAATTCTTCCAAATTTGGCTGTTTTCTGAAAGTTCTTCTTTGTTTTAGGACTCCAAACTTGAACCAGAAGAATTTACTACAAAACTCTACAAAGAACTGAAGTCCTCACCACAACCATATCTGGTTCCATTCCTGAAGGTATTAACGTAACTGTTACTGTTCCATAAACAATAAGCTACCGTCTATTTGTGGCAGGGCATAGTTTAGCCAGTCACTTATGTCACCAAGGCATGAAGAACGTGTCCCGTGTCTAAGGCCCATATCACAGGGATGCAGTACAGCATTATGCCTGCATTAGTGCATTGCAGTACTATTCTTTATTGCATGGTACCCCAGTACACTGAAGGCAAAGCATCTGTGCTGCCTTACCATGCATTGCATTCCCAAAAAGAGAATCCGGTATGCTTTTGACTGCTAGAGTGCATTGGAAGCCCATTTTAAAATCAGCGAGCTTCCTTAATGTAACGTGCATATAGTAATGCACCACAAAAATGTGAACCTGGCCTTGGAGATGTCACTAACACTGGTGAAATAGTATGCTCCTAAATCATGTGGTATAAACTGATCCTACCTGGGTTTAGTTTGAGGTGTATGTGGTGAACATTACTAAAGCCTAGTCTAGTCTGGATGAGATGAGCACAGCTGGGTGCCATGTATTTTGTACCTCCGCATACAGGAGCTGCTAAGCACGTTGTTTGTGTGGATGGAGAAAACTAGAAGTCTCTTGCCAGCTTTGCATATATCATGGTATTTACCAAATAAATTCATCTGTGCACAACAGTCACAGATTGTTGTTACTGGAACAAGGCTTACAATCCATTGTCTGTAAAATAACCCTGGAGCAAATAACAAATTGTAGCGCTTATGCAATCTAAGCAGCCCCTAACGTTTTGCTGATTAACTAGTAGCACAAAGGAGTTGTTGGTCAATTTTTTTGTTTTCAATTAAGCATGTGTGCAAGATGTGTTTATGCTCATATTTGTTCCATGTGCTGAATATTATAGCGAATTAAATTCAATAATGCTTATGTTTGCAACTAGAGATTACTTTTACATTTATGAACATCTTGAAATTGACTTGAAAATCTTGACTGGTAATTGCAAATTTCTACTGAATTCATAGGTTTGTGATTCATCTTGGACAGAAGTAATTTTATTTTTCTATCTTTTGGTTTGTGGGACATGGGATGGTCATACAGTGTCTATAGACAGGGCCTGTTAGGAAGTAAATGCAGGAATTTGATGTTGCTAGGTAAAAGTGCTTGCCGTTTAGCCAGTGGTTTACCATAGAATGTGATAACAATTTGTTTTCTCTACAGAAAAGTTTACCCTCATTGCGCCGGATGATGCCGAACTCCCAGGAGTTTATCTTACAATGTGGTCCACAGAACCCAGCAACACCTGTCACTACCACCAACTCTCTCTCTTATGTTAAGATTACACCAACATCTATGCAGTCCTTAAAACCAGCTAGTACTGCAATACTTGGCAATGCTAGAACTCCCCAGACTGCGATAGCTGTGCCCCAGCCACTCAATGGCTTGAAAGCTGTGAACTTCAAGCAGTTGGTAAGATCATTTTTCTTTATGTCCCAGTTGTACAAAAAAAGATTCTGAAGTGGTGTCTCCTCCTCCTCCTTCTTCTTCTTTTTTTTCTTTTTTTTTTTTTTTTTTTTCAGCCATGAAAAGGTTATGTTATCCACCCCGACCCACTGCTCAGCTCTCTGCTGAAATGTTCTGTTACCACTGGTTTCACCAATTAACCGCTTTACTGCCACCCTATGGCAGATATACTGCTACAGGGTGGCAGGGGTGCGCAAAATCACGTGTATATATACGTGATTTTGCATTTCCATTCGCAGCCTTGGCTGTCAATTACCGGGTCCTGGCCAGTGATTACTTGCCGGCACCCAGTGATCACCGACCATTACCGATGGGGAGAGAGAACTGTATGTAAACAATGCAGTTCTCTCCCTTGTCAGCTCCTACACACTGCTTTGTATGGCTGTGCATAGCAGAGCCATACAAAGCAGTGTGCTTACAGTGAAGCACGCACCGCTTACAGTAAAACAGCACACAGTTAACCCTTTGATCTCCCCAGATGTTAACCCCCTCCTGCTCAGTGCCAATAGTACCGTGTCAGTGCTTTTTGTTAGCTTATCACTGTATTGATGTCACTGGGGATGTCAGAGACACCAAGTCAGTTCCCCACAGTGTCAGAATGCCAGCCGCAGTCCCGCAATAAGTCGCTGATCACCGCCATAACTGGTAAAAAAAAAAAAATCCCAGTATATACATCGCCATTTGTAAACGCTATAACTTTCATGTAAACCAATTAACATGTATTGGGATATTTTTAGCAAAGACATGTAGCAGAATACATTTTGGCCTAAATTTATGACAAAATTTGATTTTTTTTTTTTTTTAAAGAAAAACTTTTACCAGACATGCTTAATAGCAAAAAGTCACAAATATAGTTTGTTTTCTCAAAATTGTTGGTCTTATTTTTTTTATAATGCAAAAAATAAAAAATGCACAGGTGATCAAATACCACCAAAGAAAGCTGTATTCGTGGGGGGAAAAAAGGCTGTAAATTTCATTTGGGTGCAGCGTTGCATGACTGCGCAATTGTCAGTTAAAGTAATGCAGCGCCGTAACGCAAAAAAAAAAGCCTGGTCAGGAAGTGGGGTAAATCTTCTGGAGGGCAAGTGGTTAATACATCGCTGACTTAAACTGTGTAGATCTGAAGTCCCAGTTTCACTAGTAGCATGTTTGTTCATGGTCCGCAGCTCACCAAGTTGTGATGGCTTAGCATCATCTTTACATGGAGCTAGCATTTTCAGAAGGGGGTTTCAAATGGAATCTTGGACCTTTTATATGACAGATCACTTTTAATGCTTGAATATCTTCCTGATTTTTGTCCTGTGGTCTCTTAAGCCTTCAAGAAAACATCTGCCAAAACATGTTCACTTTGTTTTACTTACCTCTGCATCCTCACAGTTTAGTTTCGCTGTGAGAAATTCCTCCAGCAAACTGCTCACCTCATTGCCTCTAATTCTGTTAACCTTCACTGCTTGGCTACGTTAAAAATTGCTAATGAAGACACTGGTTTTGTCAGTACTCTGCTTTACTAAAAATGTACAGTTTCCTAGATGTGCTTCTAAAGGATGTCTTTGTAGTGTGACCATGGGCTGGTTGGTAGAACACAGAACTTGGGACATATATATTTAATAATGGTGATACCAAATTGATAATGAATGCTTTTTCCCATCAGAAGTGCTAATTATGGCATGAAAGAAATTTTCTGATGTGGGAATTTCTGAACTACAAATCTTGGTACAGAAATTACTGACCCTCTTGATTTGTCAAATCAGGCTAGAGAAAAGATTACACTTTACAGTGTATGTATAACCAAAAACAGTTTTTGGTTAGAGTAGGTAAGGGTTAGAATCCCTGTTAAAGGTTTTATTGCCATCTGTTTTCTTCTTGTGTAGGTTCATCCTCTCTCCCTGTCCTAGTGACCAACGTCACAGAAAATTATGGGAAAGCTAAAAGTTTACAGTTCTCACTAGAAAAAGTGAGTGGAAATTTCCAGTGGGAACACCAGTTCCACTTTCTTGGTTGCGAGCCAGGCCAACACCTTTATGTAAGCATCCTGAGAGTAAATAGGGGGTGGTGAACCAACCTGCAGCAGTGCTTTATTTTTGTTGGACTTAACAGTTCCACTGAATTTCCAAGAGGGGAATTCCTTTCACGTAAAGTGGTTTGAAAGGCTAAAGGTTTTTTACCTTAATGCATTCTGTGAATTAAGGTAACAAACTTTTCATGTTCAGCCCACACATGTGCCCCCATAGGAAGCGGCTTGCTATGGGGGCTTTTGTAAGGGAGAAGGAGCCAAGAGAGCTGGCACAGGACTCCAGGTGGTGAGGTTCTGGTCACTCTATGCAAAGCCATTGCACAGAGCAAGTAAGCATAACATGTTTATTATTAAAAAAATAAACCTTTACAATCACTTTAAATAAATATTGTAAATCTTTATTCTCACTTTCTGGCTTGTCTGTGGGACAGGAAATGAAGGGAAATCCCATCAGTGGGACACAGGCAACAAACAAACTGATAGGGGGTTTGATGCTTCCCTATTCTACCCAAAACATTAAATGTTTTGGCTATACGTAACTTTAAGTTACTCGTGGACAAGATTGGCATAAGTCACTATCTTTAATCGTATAGGACAGAGGCTATTTATAACATTTATAGATCCTGGCTTATAGGCTTGTACCTTCAGGTGATTGCACACTAGCAAAGCTTGCGAGGACACAGCTCCTGGACACTTTCCCTATAACCTTACCCCACTTCAGGAGTCCTCTGTTCTTAGCTAGTATTCTAAGATGGACCTCTTACGGAGAAATCACTCTTAACTAGTTTATTATTTTATCTTTTAGATTCTTCAGTCAACTCTCCATTGTCTTCTATTACAACAATAGAAGCATTGCATTTGGATTGGTGCAACCTCTGTAAATCCTTGGGAGTTGTACCTGGATCCCACACCGTGCCAGTGGCCTGTAATGTTGCTTCTGGCACTTTGTGCAACACGTGTATTTATCCGCAGGGTGCTTTGCAGGTCTAGGGCTGTGGTCCATCACTTTAGATCATTGGTCTCCAATCTGTGGCCTGAGGGCCAGATGCAGCCTTTTGCTTGCCTTTATCCAGGCCTCGAGGCACTGTTTTCTCCCACTGACAACAATGGGGCATAATTCCTCCCACTGACACCAACACTCTTCCCCCTGAAACCAATATTGAGGTATTATTCCTGCCACTGACACCAATGCTGGGGCACTATTCCTCTCACGGACACCAATGATGAAGCAATGTTACCAATGCCAGGACATTTTCTACTCCCATTAGCCACAATCTGGCCCCTCTAATATCTAAAGGATAGTAAATTGGCCCTTTGTTTAGAAAGTTTAGAGACCCCTGCTATAGATCCCAGACCCTGAAGACCCCTGATGGCAAAGCCTGGACTCATTATGGGGACCATCATTGTGAATGCGTGAGACTGGGTCATTCTAAATCTCTGACCATTACTGTAAAAACTGTAGCTATGTTTGGTACACTTTACGGTGTACACTTTTCTAATTTATCCGGAGTAAACCCACACAGGAAGAACATGCAAACTCCACGCAGGTGGTGCTGTGGTTGGAATTCGAACCAACAACCCTAGTACTGTCAGGTGGAAGTGCTAACCATTTGGCCACTGTGCTGCCCTTTTATATCAAAACACAGGTCCACACTTTACTGCCACTTACACCTAGAATCCTTATAAGGTACTCAGATGCTTACTCCCACCCTTTTACCCTGAGGACTTGTTGCATGCTCTTTACAGACCTGCTTACCCAATATTACGCATCTTTCCCCTTGTGTACCCCACGGGGAATCACCCTCACCCATAGCTATGGTAGAAACCAGACAAAAAGGAACCACTGCAAAAAATCAGGTGTAATTCTTTGATCTGATCCTGGAAACATCCAAGGAAAACGTTTTCCTTACAGTGAAGAAACTGCTTTCTCTCAGAACTCGGAAATTGAGGTCAGAGACATCCTATGTTGAGATTCTTCATGAGCGTTCTAGGTCTCAATGTAGCCTCCTTTTTTGAGGCTGTTCCGTTTGCCCAGTTTCATTTGAGACCTTTCCAGCACAATCTTCTTGACCTGAAACAAGCATGCTTCTTCTCTTGACCTACCCATGCACCCGCATGGAATTCCCTAGCTTGGTGAATCTCCAGCCTTAACAATAGGGAATTCTTGTAGCCAACACATCCACCAGGTGGGCACCAGAAGTCATGCATTCTTGAAGAAAGCAAGCCAGATCATGTGGATAAAGACTCTCACTGTTCAGTTTTTTTCTGCTGTAAACCAGATTACCTCAGCTGCCGCTGCCTGGATCACCCTGACATCTTCAACCTGATATGTTATAGATGGGGCATCCTGGTTATGGATATCTGGCCTCCAGATGGAACAAAATGCTATTTTGCTTGTGGCCAGGACCAAGGATCCTTTAGCACTGTCATTTGGGTTCCATAATAATCTCCTGGTCTTACTTCAGGCATTAATATGTGCCTTTCCTGCAGTGTAATTTCTACTTCCCATGCTGCAGAAAATAGAGCAAGAGAGGAAACCAGTGATTTTTATTGCATCAAATTGACCTAGAAGATCCTGGTACACACATTCAGTTTATTGAGTGGAGACCCCTGTCCTCTCTGATTTTTATCTTTAAAGTGGTAAAGTCTTGCTAAAAGCAGAAAATTGACCTCCCCTGCAAGTTTGTCATGATGTACTAGTATGCACTGCACATGGGCCACGGTGATGTCAGTATCGCGCATGTGCATGGAAGTTACATTGCCACAACACAGAGTGTGCCGTAAATGTGGTTCGAGCTGC